ATAAAGAAATTAGTTGTCGAGAAACAACATGATACTGAACCCGACCCCTACAAAAGGGGAAGAGGGAGGGGAATATTTCATGCACGTAGCGATCGTAGCGGCTTTTAGGGATTCCCTTGCCGTACCAGAAAAGATTTATATGTTTAAGTTTTTTGCATGGTAAGGATTATGATTATGACATTTACCCACATCGACATTACTGGAAAGTGCGCACTGCTTGTCTCAGCCACCAACAAAAGAAGCAAAAGCATGTAACCTTATCCTCGTGGCTAATCACAGGCAATAATGACTATTAGTGATTCCAATAATATGCCAACATTCCATTTTAGTTATTTTCTGGGAACAGGATGTCAAGGTCGTGTTTGGGTGTGAGGAAAAGTTTTTCGAACCTTATCAATTAAGAAAGAAAATTGATTGGTACATAATGTTAAGGACTAATTTCGTATTTATAACATCTCAATACTATCCCATAAAAAGAAAAAAAAATCTCAATATTATAAGTCACAATACACAAATCCAATTTCAAAGTATAATGACAGAGACAGATCCACTCTCAAATAAAAAACAAGAACAAATTTATTCATAAAATTTTTAATTTAGAAAAATTATCTTCAATTTAACGTATGATGTTATTTGACGTCAAAAATCCGTTAACAATGAACTTATTAACGGTATAACAAATTAATGAATTACTAACGTCAAATGACATTACACATTAAATTTGAAATGATTTATCTAAGTCAAAAACTTTATAGGTGGATTTATCTTTATTTTTTGTTCGAGAATAGATCTATTTTTACTGCTATATTTTAAGGGTGAATTTAGGTATTTTACCATACTATAATAAGTAAAGAATTTCTTTTGGCGGCCAACAATAACAAGTTAAAGAATTAAATTGGCAAATTTTGCCCCATTTTGCCCTTTCTCAAAACCATTAGATGTTGTATTTTCATTATATATTACATTCTGTCCTCTCCCATTCCCTCATAATTTGTGTTAAGTAAATGAAGCTTCTTCCTTTTTCATTATTCTTTTCAAATTAAACATATTTTTTTATAAAAAAAAATTTAATAAAACTTTTTCTTCTTACTTTGAGATATAAATTTTTTTATCAATTTTTTTTATTGTAGGACTCACTTAACAAGTACTTTTTTAAGAGAGTGCAACATCAATCTTAATTAATTATTAAAAAATTAACAATTTCAACTAAATTTCTTTACAAAATTATTAATTTTTTCAACTGTACTTGTAACTTTCTTAGTTAAAACTCTTTTAGAAAAATCAATCAAAGGAAATTCCAAAGTTCCTGTTTCTCGACTGGAAAGTTTGTAATTGTTAGTTAAAATATGCATGGACTTTTACTTGAAAAGTTTAGCCGAGGTTAAAATTATAAGTATCTACTATTTCCAAGTGTAAATTGAGTTAGATTTTTTTGTTTAGATTAAAATATGGGGAAAGAATTTTTTTGTCTTTCTAATTCTATCACCGGCCAGTAAAAATCCTTCAATTAAAATCTATTAATCTTTGAATTTTCAAAAATGACAAAATATAGGATTCTCAAGTCTAAAGAGTGTCGATCCCAAGAAGATAATTCAATGATTAAGAGTTTAAAACTTTAAATTAAAAATCTTAAATTTAAATTTTATATCAAATGAAAAATAATTTTAAAAAATAAAAAATTTATTTTCTTTTATATAATTTATCATTATCATATATATATATATAAAGTCTCGAGGGCATCAACACGGCAAGCACCGCATTATTTTGTTGCGTAGAATAGTGGCGAAGTTAAAAAAATATTTGATGGGGCAAAATAAATATTAATAAAGATATTGATTAGAATTTTATAACATAAATAAAGATAATAAAATAAAGATTAATGAACTATATTAAATATTTTTCGAAAGTTTAGGAATCTGGGAAGGGCCCCTGGTTCCGCCTCGGCCAACGGTGTAGAATGCATTAATTAAAGGCATTATCAATTAGTCAATTACTATCAGAAATTGTGTTGTTTGATAGGATATTTTTAATGTGATATTTTTAATTAATAAAAAATTACATCTTAAAAAATCTGGATATATCATTATATCTAAAGAAGAATAACGATATAAAATTTAAAGATTTCTAATATATATATGTATATGTATATGTAATAATAATAAAGTTTTTAAAAAAATATGTCATAAATAAAAATTTCAGCTTTCTATTACGGCTGAAATACTTGTGATACAGATTTAAAACACCACATCAAAGACATCTGCATCACATTACCTAATTTCTCCCCATTGCAAATATGCTCCCACAACAAAAAGGATACAAAATTCCTTTAAATTGATAGAAAAAGAGCAAATGCTATTGCTACAACTTAATCTCCTCATGTTAGACCTCTTTAAACAATAATTGGATGAATCGAAGTAAGTGAAATTTGATTTAAGCCCATATTATAAATAAAAAAATGAAGATTAAGAGGAATAAAAATAGCAAATGAAACACATTTGCTTCATTTGTTTGGCATCTTTGATGAATTAATTGCCTCGTGCCAATAAATTAATCAAAAAAATTAATGAGTGTCACCTCTACTAACCAGTTAATTAATATACACAACTATAATAGTGCTTGCCATGTCAACGCACTTGAGACTGATTACAACCCACGTATCTTATGTCATTTTCAAAAATTTAAAGATTAAAAAACTTGGATAGTTCCAATGCATATGACTCATCAATTTTGTTAGATTTAGAAAAAATAAAATAAAATAAAATAAAAACTTTGGAAAATGTCTAATACTTAGAATACGATCTCCCTACAACCAAATGCAACGTGCATGATTCATCCATGGCACCCTCGATATAGGACCAGAATGTACTAATCCATGGCACTCTCTTGAGTCTGGAAAATTTAGAAGAAAGAAAAACAGAGATGAGAAATTAATTAAGAAACTTGCCTTTAATTTTAGTAATATATTCCCTACCATGTTTTTTTGTTTGGGATTAGTATTTATATTTAGTTGATTGAAAAAAATGTTATACCTACACCATAGTATTGATGTATATATGATTCACATGGAAAATATATTGATCTGCCTGAGGTGCAGGAAATTGTTGAGCCATTATCTAGTGAAGGAGTAGGACCATGGGTAGACCCATACGAACCTAAGAACCAACAGATTGGATTGGGTAGAGTCCAAAAGTATTTGGATTGGTTCAAATATAAACCAAATTGTTAAAACCAATCCCAACTTGTACCTTTATCAGTTTTTAAACCTATAACCACTTAATTTGAAGTTTATGTTTATGTTAGGCAAAAGAAAATTGTTTCAACCTTAATAGAGTAACTCAATGATTAAAAACTTGAAATTTCAAGATAGAGATTTTAAATTTGAATTTTGAGTCAAACAGAAAGGGATTTAAAGAAAATGGATGGTTATTTTTTTTTATATAGTTTATTCAGATGTAAAAAAATAATAATAATAATTGATCCAAATTAAAAAAAGGAAAAAAATCTAAGTAAGCATGCAATATGCAATTATGTCTTCTTTAGTCTTTTCAATTCATGTGAGGGAAAAAAAAAAAAAAAAAAAAAAAGAGAAACAAAAGCAAAACAGATAAGGAGGAGATTCAATTTCAAGGGTCATCTCAATCTATAGGCCCCCTATGTTTCGGAGATTCTAGACCAAAAAGAATCATTTTGCACGGAAATAATGAATTTTCATTTTGATGTTTTGGGTTTGTCTGGTAGAAAACGTAAACAAGATAGAAAGCAAAATTGACAAATTAGCACTAGTCCACTTTGATTTATGCACAAGTAGAGCATCCCCATTGGCTCACACAATTTCCCCTCATGTTGAAAATGTACTGGGTGTGATAAATGTACTCAACATGCACTGGGATAAATGCAAAACTTCAAACAACAACTTTCAATTAACTGGAGACTTCAAACATAAACATTAAAACATAAATATTTATTGGGATAAGTTAGAATTTTTTTTTATAGACTCCAAGTAAATTCGTGTATATCTCAGAAGACTAATTCATTCAATGAGTTAGATTTTTTTAGACTCTAAGCTAATTTATGCATATCTCGAGAATAATTCTTTCTTAGACAATCATATAAAAAAAAAAAAGGTGATAAAAAAACAAAAAGAATAAAATTCTAGAAAAATTGTAAAAGAGAATCTCAAATTCAAATATAAGCTTTTGTCCATTGAGCCCAAAAGGGCCTTAAAACCAAAAACCTATTTGAGAATCTAAAGCCGATTCGACAAACCATACCCCAACTTTGGGCCACAGGTCACTAATACTAATAGCTCTAAACTAGCCCAATTGAAATTGAAAAGCCCAAATTCATAATTAAAAAAAAAGGATAAAAATGTCATTCTACGAGTATACAGGTTTAATTGACTCCTTTAAAAAGTTATGGTTTTATTTGTCAAAAGAGAGAAAGTTTATGGGCTTAAAAATTAGTTTTTTCCATAAATTTACAATTCAGTTTGCTCCAAAAAGTCCTCACTCGTCGTCGCTTTATTTGTCCTCCACACTCTGCGGTTTCTCTATGTTCTTTGCCTTACCTCCTCTCTACTTTCTCTTGGATTCAAGCTCAGTCTCTGCAATCGAATCATAGCGGCTTTCAAAAATCGCATCTTTTTCTTGAGTTTGAATCTATGTTGAATCGCTAAATCCATGCGTTTAATCTGGTTTACGTCGAGGTTGAGTTTCACAAGGCCTTAACCGTCAGGAGGAATGGAGCTCCATGTATGGCGGAAGCGTAGGAGCCATTAATGGAGATGCTGTTTTTTTGTTAGGATTTTGTATTTTCAAATGGAATTGAAAACTGGGTTATCCCTGAATCGGTCTGAAGGAGGTGGGAGAGGGCGGGGTGCCTGAACAACTATACCTTGTATCTTACACAAGCGCCCTAAGAACTGTCAAATTCTGACCTTTTTTTTTTTCTCCAATTTCTCGCTTTTCTGCGTCTGAGTTTTGGTCGTTGAGGTGAAGGTAATCTAAAGGTGCTGAAAGATTTGAGGGTGATGGACCATTCCATCGTAAAGCTCCTGGAGGAAGAAGAGGTTTACTTTCCTTCTCCTTTCCCTTACCGTGGTTTTGTATTTGGTGATGAATTGGGATTTCTGATTTCTACTTCATTTGAGTGAAACTTGACAGGATGAGTCTATGCATTCTGGGGCTGATGTTGACGCATTCCAAGCTGCCTTAAATCGGGATATAGAGGGCGATATGAATCCTTCTCAACCATGTGATAAAGAAAAAGGTATTAATTTCAATCTGCATTTTTTTTTTTTTGTTTTTAATTTTGGTTGCAATCTTTAACCATGTGATTGCTTATTACTAGTTTTTAGTGACCTTATTATTTGAAACTTATTTATAAAACGGAACTTTTCAGCTTTTCGATGGGTTATTAAGTGTAGTGGACTGGGAAAAGTGCAGTTGTAAAGCTTGAATTGAATGTTGTTTGCATAGAAAATGGTTGAAAATTTTCATGGTGGGAATCCTAGTTGAACAAAAATCACTTTCATGTCAATCTGGATTGCCATTTTCTTAGGAAGGGAAGGGAAGGGAAGGGAAGGGAAGGGTAAAGCCAAATAAAGGGAGAAATAAAAGGAAGAAATTTACTTTTCACTCCATTTGATTACTTGAACAAAAAAGACACTAGAATAAAAATGTAAATATTAGCAAAAGGTATTTTGAGTTACTTAATGTAACAGGTTGGGTGTTATTTTTCATTATTCACTTCTCTTAATTGGAAATTTTATTTAGTCAATGTGGAAAGTATCTCCTTCCCTTAAAGGTGGATTTCTCACAAGCATAGCTAATCAAACTGAAATTTGCAATCTAGATAGTTGAGAGTGGCTTATTATTAGTTGTCAGTGACCTTATTAATTTAAACTTCTTTCCCATAAAGCACCAACTTCTCAATTTTTTGGTGGGCCAAGAAGCGTTGTAGATCAGGAAAAATGCATGTTTACTTTTTGGTACATTGGATCATGGGTTATTCCAAAAGAGATAGCCTTCCTCTTCCCTTCCTGTCTGTCCCAAGGCTCAAACTTGAGACCACCAATTTTAAGATCAAAGCTCTCTACTGTCAGGTTTCTCCTAAAGGATGGAAATGCAATGGCAAAGCTTGTATTGTATGACGTTGTCATAGAAAATGCATGAAATAATTCCATGTAAGGAATCCTAGGGGGTACTTGTGGGTGTCCTAAAAATTATCTTTTTGGACAAGCTGGACTGCCATCTTGGTAGGAGGTAAAGGAAGGGTAAAGCCAAATGAAGGGAGAAAGAAAGGAAGAAAATTATCTTTCCCTCATTTTGTTAGTTGGGTAAAAAAAAAAAGGTAAAATTTTTAGCAAAAACGGTACAGTGAATAACTTATTCTAACAAATTGATTGCTGCTTTTGATTATTTACTCTCCATGAATGGAAATTTGATTTTTTCTTTTTAGAGTGGGAAGTTAATCTTCCCTTTTGTTTCCTCCCAACCAATTAAAGTAAATGGTTCTCCATCTTCCTGGCACATGTAGGTTCTCTTATGTTTTCCTTTCATCAAGTAACCTGCTGTAAGCTAGTATATTCTGAAATTCTATTGATGCTTTGCCTGTTCTTTCTCATTTAATTTTTAAATAATATCAAGGGTTCTTTTTCTTTCACTTGGAGATGGTTAAAGGTGAAGAAAAAACATTGTTTGTTATCACACATCTAATTAGCAGAATAAATATCATTCATTTAATTAACAAAATAAACAAGAACACATTTATTTTTCCTAAGAATGGGCAAGGGTGGCTGGTTGCATTTTATTATTGTGATATTGATTACTTACACCAACTTCCCAGGAGTTTTGCCTCAAGAAAATCAAACCAGTTTAGAAAATACACAGAAGCAAGACTGTCATTCATCTGAAATGGAGCAAAAGCAGCATGGATCTGTTTCTGATATTCAGCAACAGCAGCTGAATGATGGCTCTCAAGAATTCAGTCACCTTCCATTACAGCAGAGACAAAACCTAGATGATCATCGACAATCAGTTGCAGGGCAAATGGCTGTCCAGGTCCCACAGACAACTGGGATCCATAAATCTGAAAAGAATTCTGTCCCGGCAGGTGAACCAGAAAGAATAAATAATCATGATAGTGACTCACAATATCTGAAATTGCAGCAGATTAGCAATCAACAGGCCAGTGGTACGCAGCAGACTAGCATACCTATGAATCGTAGTAGACAAGTACCATTTGGCATGTTGCTGCCTGCATTACTGCCCCAACTGGATCCAGACAGAGCCATGCAACTTCGTACCCTATATGGTAAACTGAAGGTAGGCTGCTGATGAATTTTTCCCTCTCAACTTTCCTTTTTTTCTTCCATGCAATGAATACAATAGGCTGGATGTGTTACCCTGATTTATTACCATCTTTTTCTTTTAGAAAAATGAAATTGCCAAAGAGGGATTTGTTCGCCACATGAGGGATATTGTTGGGGATAAAGTGCTAAAGTTTGCAGTTCAAAATCTAAATGCTCAGGTAAGCAGAGAATATATTGTAATTGCAATGATTATCAATGTTCTCTCAATTGTTTGTTGTTTAATTAAATGAGCTGAAAGGCTCGTCTATGTTTTGGTTGGGTTTCATCCAATTTCAGTTAAATTCTCAGTCTTCTTCATCAAGGCAAACACAGTTCACTGGTTCCCAGAATTTCAGTCAGCTTCGGCAGAATGGCAGTAGTTCTCCGGCAGATTCATCCCATGCTCCCAGTTCAGCAGTCCCAATGGAGACAGATTCAACTGGACAAGGACATAAACAGCAGCAGCCGCAGCGTTTGCACTTCCCACAAACTTCCCTTCCAATCTATGGAAATAACAGTTATGACCCCTATTCTGGGCCAAAAGTCAATACTCCAGGATCTTCTCTGAAACCACAACCTCTTGATCCACAATTGAGACAAATTACACATCATCAGAACATGGGATCAACTCCCGTAGGTGGGTCAACTCAAGCAATGAATGTGATGAGTGGGTCTAATTTTGAGAGACCAAATTCCATGAATGATCCAAATAGATTGCAGAGTGGTTCTCCTTCTCTCTTTATGAACAATTCAACATTGCAGCAAAATCCAGTCCCTAGGCAGTTAACTACAAATAACGAACGTAAGCCTGTTTCGTTGTCATCAATGTCTTCTGTGAAGTATGAGTCAGTTGATCAGGGTACCGAGCAACAGCCAAAGTTGCACTTTTCTACCCCACATGGATTATCTGCTTCACAGGTGGAACAGGGTAATGCCAAACAAATTCCAAAGGATGACCCTGGAGAGAAGCAGACCTCTAGAATTGCCTCCTCAAGCCCTGCCAGTGTGTTGGCCCACAATTCAGTTTCTCCTTCACAGCCAATGCATTTGAACCCTAATTCACCGGTAATCTTTCAGTCTACATTTCCTTGTAGTGATAATGTGATATCTGAAACAGTTCCTCTATGTTTCTGTGATTCCTTCACAAAATATTCTTCAATAATGTGGAAGTGCATGTGTTTATGTTTACATTTCATTATATGGTGTATTTTAGCATTCAGGAAAATAAGGCCTGCTAGCTTTCTTTATTAATATGGATGAAATTTGGTGTTAAGTCAGTATTTGCTTTAACCTTACAAAGCATTTTGATGAATACATGCAAGACTTCATTTAGGATATTTCAATTTAGATTCTAAGAACTACTTTAGGTGGCAGCATGTTGCATAACTTGTTTGAAGCAACTTGAAGACTTCAAGGTATTATTTGATGTGATTTGTTCTTGAATCTTGCTATGCCTGAAATAATTTATGTATAATAAATATGCTGTAAGAGCCCTGTGATTCATCATAGTTCCATCAGAAATGCATAAGTTCTTTCTTTTCAATGCTTGATAACATCAGGTTTTATGTTATGGTTAATAAGTAGGTTCCTTCACTGGTCTTGACTCTTGAAAAGGTCTTTATCTTTCTAAACAAATGAATTTGATCTGTTATTGGATTAAAGGATTTGTTTGAGCAGCCAGAGTTAGCTCTTCAGTTGTTTTGGACTCTACGTGGAAGGGTAAAATTTTTTAAGGGAGAAGGAAAGTAGAGGATAAAGGGAAAGCATTGATCTTTTAAACTATAACTTTAGTCTTATTTATAAAAAATTCAAAATTAATTCTCACTTTCTTGTATTTTACTTATCAAATTGTGCCTCTTTAAACTGTTATAGTTGTATTTTAAGGTTACTTCTTCCTATTTTACTTATTCAACCTTATGTTGAATGTTTTTTCTTGTGAAGTTGACCATTATGACTTTGTATGCATTTTCTTAAATTTTCATATTGCTTTTATGCTTCTCAGTTGAGCTCTCGGGTATCATCTGTGACTTCTCCTGCTGGGGTTAATTCAAGGACACCTCCAAAAAGGCCTTCTGCTGGCCAGAAGAAACCGCTTGAAGTCCTTGGTTCATCACCACCTTTGTCAAGGTCAAAATAACTTTTTCTATTGTTGATAATTTGACAATGAATGTTGATTTGTTGATTAAGAGTTATTTATAGTTCATCCTTTATGTCGACCTTTTGCGTCATTGTACATGATTTCTCACGTAATTGTTGAAACTTCCTACAGTAAGAAGCAAAAAGTATCTGGGGCCTTTTCAGATCAGAGCATTGAACAACTCAATGATGTCACTGCTGTCAGTGGAGTCAATCTCAGGGTATTTTTTTCCTTTTTCCATCCCTTGCCTAATGGGAAGTATATCCTGCTAGTTAATTGAAAAATTCCAGTGCCTTCAAAAAGATGGTCAACATACTTTTGATTTTCTACTCTTAAACAGGAAGAGGAGGAACAGCTATTTTCTGGCCCTACAGAGGACAGTCGAGTTTCAGAAGCGTCGAGAAGGGTTGTGCAAGAAGAGGAAGAAAGGCTTATTTTGCACAGAACCTCCTTGCAAAAGAAGTTGGCAGAGATTAGTTATACTCTAATACTCTCCTTAATTGTTAAGATTTTTAATTGCAAGTATATTTTGTTTTATAGTAAGAGTAATATTAACACAGTACTTATTTTCTTCTTTTCTGGCCGACAGTGGTCAAATCTGGTTTGAAGAATATAAGCAATGATGTGGAGCGATGCCTATCCTTGGTGAGATGCCAGTCCTTCTTATTGTACCTTTATATTTATTCATTTTCTTATACAATTTTATCTCCAGTGCGTGGGGGAAAGGCTGCGTGGATTGGTATGCAATTTAATCAGATTGTCAAAACAGGTTAGTTTTGTTTTCTATTCATTAACTTGAATTCTCTTCATTCATCTTTGGTCCCTCATATTGAATGAATGTTTGTAGCGAGTTGATGCTGAGAAGTCTACGCACCAGACTCTTACCATTACCACCACAAATACACAGCAACAAATTGCAACAATTAACAAAAAGACTAAGGAAGAGTGGGAGAGAAAGCAGGCTGAAGTGGAGAAGCTTCGTAAAGTTAATGAGGTGAGTTTTGTTTGTTTTTTATGATATGATCATCCTTAACGCACAATAAAGCATAGGCATAATACACTATGCATAAGTAAGCAGTTATGAGTGTTATATGTGTTTGTGCTCTATAATAGTGTCTCTATTTTAATTTGTGTTCAGCCTGAGGGTGATGGTGTGGGTGATGCTGATAAGGAGAAAGATGAAGTTCGGGTAAAATCACTGAAGGTACTGGGGATGATAAATTCTCTCAGGAGCTGTATGTTCATCACCTGCCCATCCAAAAGAAGGTTAACTTATTGTTTGTGTTCAGGTGAACAAGGAAGAGGATGACAAGATGAGGACCACTGCAGCAAATGTTGCTGCACGTGCTGCTGTTGGTGGAGATGACATGCTCTCAAAATGGCAGCTTATGGCTGAGCAAGCACGTCAGAAACGTGAAGGAGTGATGGATACAGCTTCTGGTTCTCAGGCTGGTAAATATATGAACCGCAAGCCTCCATTAGCATCTGGACAAAAAACAAAGGACAATCAAGAAGCAGAGAAGAGAGGTCCTCCTGGTCACATTGGTAAGTTTAATACATTGTTTGGCTAGTATTAAACTTTATTTTAGTATGTGTTTTGCTGGTTAATATAGTAATCATGTTGTATTAGTACTCCTCCATCATATGAATTATGAAACACCAATGTCTTCTGTTAGGCAATACAATTGAGAAATTTTGGAATAAGTTGCTTTATGTTGATGTACATATTTATAGATGTCAAAATTGCGTTTTACTTGATAATTTTGATTTTTTGATTAATTGTAATAGCAACCTGCTAATCCTATGACATAAAAGCATAAGAAAGTGTAGTCTTTGTTTTTCTACATATTCTTATCTTTTACTTATTACGTAAAATTTATGTCAACAAATTAGTTTGAGTGGCAAGAATACTTTACAAAAGTTTCTATCATGGTTAGAAGCAATTGTTTTTCGGCCCAGCAACTTTAATTTGTTGGAAGACTGAATAATAAGTTTTATTTGGTGATGAGATTTTGTACAACTGATGCTTCTATTAACTTACCATCTCTATGAGTGAAAAATGCTTATCCTTCAAAATAGCCTGTTGCATTTGCTTTAATTTTCCCCACTACATTCTTTGCACAGGTGCTGCTAGAAAATTTGGAAGGAACCAAGGTGCCATGCCTCAAACAAGGGTAGCTCGTACCATTTCCATTAAGGATGTCATTGCAGCTCTGGAGAGAGAGCCTCAAATGTCAAAGTCTACCATGCTTTATCGTTTATACGAGAGAATCCAGCCTGAGGCCAGAGCCGAATGATTGAGGTGCTCATGGTGTCAACTTCCGGTGTCTGATCACAGTTAACAAAAGGCAGTTTAAGATGTCTCGTTCATTCTCTTCATGCTAGAGATTCCAATGTTAGTGCAGTTAATTTAATCTTCGGTCACAGCTCGATCCATAATCACCAACCTTTGAGACCACAATCAATGTGTTTATTTATTTGTTTATTTATGTTTCTTTTTTGAGTGAGAAAAAGTGCTGGTATTCCTTTTGGTAATTTATTTACAACAATGCAGGGTACAGACTACAGAGATTATGTTGTTTTGGTAATTTTAGTTTATATGTAAATATTTATCACTTATGGTCATTTGGCCAATTAGATTGTTGAATAATAGCTTATAATTTATGAATTGGGTTACAACCTATCTTGGACCAATGTTATCCGAGAAATGTTTTATTTGATTGATTGATATTTTTTATTATTATTATTTATTTTGAATTATTCAATGGTAGGTAAGTTTCTTTTATCCCTACAATCACTGTACCTTTGTGACATCTAATTAAATTCATATCTTATTTTTAAATGTTGTTTTACAGTTTACTCTATATAAATTATAAAATAATTAATCATTAATAAAGAAGTGAATCTATAGTATTTCATATAGAGGTATATCCTCTCCATCAATGATTATATAAAATGTATTGAGTAATTTACATTATTTTTCTGATTTTAATCTCACAAAAAGGAAGGACAATATCACTAGCTCATTTTAAGTGGTTGGCACATTTTAATTGTTGTTTATTGGCATTTTATTGTTACTATTATTTTCTTTTTGATTTTTCATCGGCACATTTTACTTATTCTTCATTGTCTTCTAAAATTTCCCATCTATTTAAAGGGAAAATCAATTAGTAACACTACATCAATAAATAAATCACTTAACTTCTTTTCAACATTTTTTTTTATTTTAAAACTCAATGGCTAAAGTATATATAAAAAATAGATTTGAGTCTCCTAATTTACATATAAAATATATACTTTATTCTCCTGTTAAAATCATTCAGTTGTATCCATTATTTCAAGAATAAAAATGTTGATTCATTTGTAACTTGTAACTAAAATTTAATATTTTTTATTCTAACTTTCAAAGAAAAGTAAAATTATATGAAATGATATTTTTATTTTCAGAGTTCAAGGCTCATTTTTCTTTTTTTAAAAAAAGGTCCTACGGAATATTTTGATGTATATAAATATTAAGGTTTTTTTTCTTCTGTCTCTCTCTCTCTCTCTCTCTTTTTTCCCCTCTTTTTCATTTTAAGTTTAGACGTTAGGCTACCAAAAAATAATAATAATAATAATAATAATAATAATTAACTCCATTTATTTTCGACAGCAATTTATTTACAGGTCTTCAGCAGGCATCTATGTAAAATATCTTCCTGGCGGAAAGGAGATAGCTGAGTATCTTCTTCATTGGTTAGGGTTTGTAGCAATAGTCATATCTCGACGTCCAGACTGGGTATGTTGCCTCTTCCATCTCACGAATTCAAATTAGAAGTATCAATGCATGAATTGCTGTTCTAGTCCAATCCAAAGCAAATATCAGGGTTATTGCTGTTTTAGTTTTTTCAATTGGGGCGAAACAGTATCTTGTACGCATCAAATTGAATTCATGCAATGCTTTTTTGGGTGTTCCAGCAATTGCTGTTTCTTAGCATCACTCCAGTGCCGCCCTCTTGTTGGTTGGGTATTTTTTTAGCTAGACATCTCCGTGCATATATTGATTGAATTTTAATCTTATTCAGGTTTATCCATTATTTTTGAGTTTTGAGAACGGTTCTGTTGTTGGTACTGAATTTTAAGGGAGAGGATGTCTGGAAGAAATCGTGGTCCACCTCTCCCTATGAAAGGTGCTCCCCATGCTGGACCACCGCCTCCAGTTCATGAACCACCATTTGTAAGAGGCCTAGGACCAATGCCACCGCATCCAGCCATGCTAGATGAGATGAGGGAACCCCAATTCATGATGGGTCATAGGGCCCTCCCTCCACACCCAGCAATCATCGAGGAGCGTCTTGGTGGTCAACTTCAAGAAATTCAGGGACTCCTGGCTGATAATCAGAGGCTGGCTGCAACTCATGTTGCATTGAAGCAGGAACTGGAAGCTGCACAGCATGAGTTGCAGCGAATGGCTCATTACTCAGAGTCCTTGAGGGCAGAGAAGGATGTTCAAATGAGGGAGATGTATGAGAAGTCAGTCCGTTTGGAGGTTGACCTTCGTGGTGTGGAGGCTATGCGGGCTGAACTTCATAATGTTCGCTCTGATATTAAGCAGCTCAGTGCTGTGAGGCAGGAGCTAACAAATCAGTTTCAAGTCATGAATCAAGATTTGGCCAGACTTACAGCTGATTCACAACAGGTACCAGCACTGAAGGTAGAAATTGAGAATATGAAACAAGAACTGCAACGTGCCAGGTGAGAACTCTTATCTTCTTTGTACTTTGTACTTTGTTTAAGTAGGAGAGATCTTATTAATGTTATAGGGTAATTTTATGAATTAAGGATAAGTTTATATTTTGATAATTTTACCCTTTTTATTGGTGTGAGAGGAAACAGTGTGAAATTTGAGCTTCTAATGATTTTAGATGATGATTTTTATATCTAGATCTGCCATTGAGTATGAGAAGAAAGGATATGCAGAGAATTATGAACATGGTCAGGCAATGGAGAAGAAATTGATTTCAATGGCTCGAGAGGTGGAAAAGCTTCGTGCAGAAATTGCTAATGCTGAGAAGAGGGCTCGTGCTGCTTCTGCTGTTGGAAATCCTGGTATTAAGGCCTTTCCTTAACAAAGTTAGTTTAGAGTTGGATCTCCTTTTGCTTTCTCATCATATCACTCTTTGAAGCTCTGTGGTCTGTAGCTGCAATTTGACTTTACATGGTTAAGTTGTTTCTCATTCTGGCGCAATACAATTCATAATGTTAATATTCAAAAAGTAGAGAAGCTAAATAAATCACTGGCTCTGGTTCGAACTGATTGCTCAGTTGGTTGCTTTTGTTAAATGGTAGTCGTTACTAGTTTGAAATGCACATCTTGTTATATGTTGGTCCC